TCACCCATGTATTAAGTTTCCCCCCATGATGAAGAGACAAGGACCTCACCCATGTATTAAGTTCCCCATGATGAAGAGACAAGGCCTCACCCATGTATAAGTTCCCCCCATGATGAAGAGACAAGGACCTCACCCATGTATTAAGTTCCCCCCATGATGAAGAGACAAGGGCCTCACCCATGTATTAAGTTCCCCCATGATGAAGAGACAAGGACCTCACCCATGTATTAAGTTCCCCCCCATGATGAAGAGACAAGGACCTCACCCATGTATTAAGTTCCCCCCATGATGAAGAGACAAGGACCTCACCCATGTATTAAGTTCCCCCCCATGATGAAGAGACAAGGACCTCACCCATGTATTAAGTTCCCCCCCATGATGAAGAGACAAGGACCTCACCCATGTATTAAGTTCCCCCCATGATGAAGAGACAAGGATCTCACCCATGTATTAAGTTCCCCCATGATGAAGAGACAAGGACCTCACCCATGTATTAAGTTCCCCCCATGATGAAGAGACAAGTCCTCACCCATGTATTAAGTTCCCCCCATGATGAAGAGACAAGGTCCTCACCCATGTATTAAGTTCCCCCCCCATGATGAAGAGACAAGATCCTCACCCATGTATTAAGTTCCCCCCATGATGAAGAGACAAGGTCCTCACCCATGTATTAAGTTCCCCCCATGATGAAGAGACAAGTCACAGAATCCTACAGCCCCCATGTATTAAGTTCCCCCCATGATGAAGAGACAAGGTCCTCACCCATGTATTAAGTTCCCCCCATGTTGAAGAGACAAGGTCCTCACCCATGTATTAAGTTCCCCCCCATGATGAAGAGACAAGGTCCTCACCCATGTATTAAGTTCCCCCCATGATGAAGAGACAAGGTCCTCACCCATGTATTAAGTTTCCCCCCCATGATGAAGAGACAAGGTCCTCACCCATGTATTAAGTTCCCCCCATGATGAAGAGACAAGGTCCTCACCCATGTATTAAGTTCGCCCCCATGATGAAGAGACAAGGACCTCACCCATGTATTAAGTTCCCCCCCATGATGAAGAGACAAGGTCCTCACCCATCTATTAAGTTCCCCCCATGATGAAGAGACAAGGATCTCACCCATGTATTAAGTTCCCCCCCCCCATGATGAAGAGACAAGGACCTCACCCATGTATTAAGTTCCCCCCATGATGAAGAGACAAGGTCCTCACCCATGTATTAAGTTCCCCCCATGTGAAGAGACAAGGTCCTCACCCATGTATTAAGTTCCCCCCCATGATGAAGAGACAAGGTCCTCACCCATGTATTAAGTTCCCCCCATGATGAAGAGACAAGGTCCTCACCCATGTATTAAGTTCTCCCCCCCATGATGAAGAGACAAGGTCCTCACCCATGTATTAAGTTTCCTTCATGATGAAGAGACAAGGTCCTCACCCATGTATTAAGTTCCCCCCATGATGAAGAGACAAGGTCCTCACCCATGTATTAAGTTCTCCCCCCATGATGAAGAGACAAGGACCTCACCCATGTATTAAGTTACCCCCATGATGAAGAGACAAGGTCCTCACCCATGTATTAAGTTCCCCCCCATGATGAAGAGACAAGGTCCTCACCCATGTATTAAGTTCTCCCCCCCACAATGAAGAGACAAGGTCCTCACCCATGTATTAAGTCCCCCCATGTTGAAGAGACAAGGACCTCACCCATGTATTAAGCTCCCCCCATGATGGACAAAGACCTCACCCATGTATTAAGTTCCCCCCATGATGAAGAGACTAGGACCTCACCCATGTATTAAGCTCCTCCCCATGATGAGACAAGGACCTCATCCATGTATTAAGCACTCCCCATGATGAGACAAGGACCTCACCCACGTATTAAGCTTCCCCCCATGATGAAAGGACAAAGACCTCACCCATGTATTAAGTTCCCCCCATGATGAAAGGACAAAGACCTCACCCATGTATTAAGTTCCCCCCATGATGAAGAGACAAGGACCTCACCCATGTATTAAGCTCCTCCCCATGATGAAGAGACAAGGACCTCACCCATGTATTAAGCTCCCCCATGATGAAGAGGCAAGGACCTCACCCATGTATTAAGCTCCCCCCCCCATGATGAAGAGACAAGGACCTCACCCATGTATTAAGTTCCCCCCCATGATGAAGAGGCAGGGACCTCACTCATGTATTAAGCTCCTCCCCATGATGAAGAGACAAGGACCTCACCCATGTATTAAGCTCCTCCCCATGATGAAGAGACAAGGACCTCACCCATGTATTAAGCTCACCCTCATGATGAAGAGGCAGGGACCTCACCCATGTATTAAGCTCCTCCCCATGATGAAGAGACAAGGACCTCACCCATGTATTAAGCTCCTCCCCATGATGAAGAGACAAGGACTTCACCCATGTATTAAGCTCCTCCCCATGATGAAGAGGCAAGGACCTCACCCATGTATTAAGCTCCCCCCATGATGAAGAGACAAGGACCTCACCCATGCAGTAACTTATGTTTCTCACCCATAAGGATGGTCGTTGTCGCTTCAAGACGAATGACATCGCTGCTACATGTACGGGCTATGTTGATATTGATTACTACAACGAGGAAGCTCTGGCTCAAGCAGTAGCTGACGTAGGTCCAATATCTGTAGCCATCGATGCTTCCTGGTGGTCCTTCCAGTTCTACGAGAGTGGTAAGTGCACTTACACTTTGTGAAGGCTTACTCAGCCATGTAACAACTTCAGACAGTATTACCAAGGCTGGCTCCTCCTCAGGAAAATTAATGAATAGAAAAAGAAATAATAATTCACAAAGATAAACACTTTATTATTTAGTAATGCAAAGATAAAACATTGAAATATGAAGGTGTATCCTATTTGAAAGAAAAATGAAAAATGAAATGGAAAAATGACATTTGAATTCAATGCTAATATGTACAGTTATACTGGGGTGTCTGGTTGAGGTTGACACCGTCTTGTAGAAATTGTAGCCGTTGCTGATGTGGGGGGGGGGTCACAGGTGTTTAGTTACAACCCAACGACTAGTTCTTCACAGAGCCTATAGCCTTGAATAGTCAGTCAAGACGTCAGGAACGCAGGTTCTTTACCACTGCAAAGATGAGGGGTAGTGTCCTGTACAATTAATCAGGTAGGTAGATCATGAAGTGACTTCCCAAGACTGGTTTCAGTCTGTCTCCTTCAACACTTCTCGTTGGTTGGCAGGTGACCCGATCTGTCATTCCAAGCTGGAAAGAGACAGGTTACCCACTGCTTAAGAAATCACTCTCCATGATAAGTGTAAGATACTTAAAAAAGGTGGTGATTATCTAAAAGTCTCACGTGGAGCTTAAAACTGAAAGGACTAAGTTCATTATTGGTCAAAAGTGAAGCTTTCAACCAGTATCCACTAGAATAGGAGCAGAGGCTTTTACTTACAGTTGTGCTGAGAGCTGTGAGTCAAGTGATTACTGTTTGGCCGGAGCCCCACACGTCACCTTTCGGGGTGGGGAGAGGAGGGGGGGGGGAGGGGATAGCGGGAACTAGACTGACCCTACCTTAACAAGCAGCTGGCAGTCAAACTATCATTACCATATACTCGCTCGCTACTCCTATCTGTTGAACTTTTCCCTCACACACTTATACTTACACTCACACTCAAGTGGTCCTTCCAGTTCTACGAGAGTGGTGAGTGCACTCACACTTACACTCACACTTATATTCACACTTACACTTATGCTCAAGTGGCCCTTCCTCAGAGCTAATTTTATTTTACTCCCTGTTTTGTGCACTAGCCTCCACAAGCAGTATATATATAGTAATGTAACCACGAACGAGTGTTATTTAATCAATAACAACACTGTGACTAGCCTAGCTCTGCTGGGTGCATGATCTTTGTAGGATTCTATGGTCCAATGGGTTAGAACATCGTGAATTTTAGTTTACCATGAGGCACGCTAAAACAACATGGGTTCAAGCTCCCGGCTAGTCGCAGTGTTATTATTGATTAAAAACTATTCGTTCATGGTTACAATACTATATATACTGCTTGTGGATGCTAATGCAAGAAACGGGGAGTAGAATGAAATTCTCTCTGAGGCATCCACACCATCGTATGTCCTCGGATCATGGTACAACATCTAGCTGTGCTGGGTGCATGATCTTTGAAGGATTTTACGGTCCAGTGGGTTGCAGCATCATGAATTTTCACTCACCATGAGGCGGGCTGAAACAACAAGGGTTCGATCCAATGGGTAGTCGCAGTATTGATATATATATATATATATATATATATATATATATATATATATATATATATATATATAATATATATATATATATATATGTATATATATCACAAACACACACACACACACATGATAATCAGCGATAGAGGACACGAGAGAGATGGTTAGGTAGACTGCATTTTCTTGGAGTGTAAAAAGGCTTCTGTCACAGTTCCGCACAAGAGATTAGTGCAAAAGCTGGAGGACCAGGCAGGTATAACAGGGAAGGCACTGCAATAAATAAGTAAATACCTGACAGGGAGGAAGCAACGAGTGATGGTACGTGACGAGGTGTCAGATTGAACGCCTGTGACGATCGGGATTCCATAAGAGTCAGTCCTAGGACCGGTGCTGTTACTGATATATGTGAATGACATGACGTAAGAGGTAGACTCAGAAGTGTCCCTGCTTGAAGACGACTTGAGGCCAATGCAGAGAATTTAAGTGGATGAGGAGTAGGTAGAACTGCAAAAGGATCTGGACAGGCTGAAGGCCTGGTCCAAAAACTGGCTCCTGGAGTTTAATCCCACCAAGTGCAAAGTTAGGAAGATTGGGGAATGTCAGAGAAGACTTCCGACAGAGTACAGGCAATGAAGATAAAGACTGCAAACCTCACTCAAAAAGAAGGATCTTGGGGTGAGCATCATACCGAACACAAATGCTGAGACCAAATAACTGCTGCAGCATAAGGTTCCCTGGCAAACCTAAGAATAGAGATTCGACACCTCAGTAAAGAGCCGTTCATGACTCTGTACACGGTGTTCATCAGGCCCATATTGAAGTATGCAGCACCAATATGGAACCCACACCTGGTCAAGCACGTCAATAATTTAGAGAAAGTGCAAAAATTTGCAACAAAACTAGTCATAGAGCTAAGGGATATGTCCTACGAGGAGAGGTTAAAGGAAATCGGCATGGCGACACTGGAGGACAGGAGAGATAGGGTGGGACATGATAACGACATATACAATACTGAGAGGAATTGACAAGGAAGATAGAGACAGGATGTTCCAGAGATTAGACACAGCAACAAGGGGTCACAATAGAAAGATAAATATTCAGATGAGTCATAGGGATGTTAGGAAGCATTTCTTCAGCCAAAGAGCTGTCAGGAAGTGGAACAATCTGGAGAGTGATGTAATGGAGGCGGGATCCATTTATGGCTTTACGAAGAGGTATGATAAAGCTCATGGAGCAGGGATAGAGTGGACCTAGTGGCGACCAGCGAAGGGGTGGGGCCAGGAGCTATGACTCGACCACTGAAACCACAGATATTTGATTACAAATAAGTGAGTATACACAATAACACAAACAACTGTACCACAGGTGTGTACCTCACATACTAACACCAGTGTACCGCAGGTGTGTACCACACATACTAACACCAGTGTACCACAGGTGTGTACCACACATACTAACACCAATGTACCGCAGGTGTGTACCACACATACTAACACCAGTGTACCACAGGTGTGTACCTCACATACTAACACCAGTGTACCGCAGGTGTGTACCTCACACACTAACACCAGTGTACCGCAGGTGTGTACCACACATATTAACACCAGTGTACCACAGGTGTGTACCTCACATACTAACACCAGTGTACCACAGGTGTGTATTACACATACTAACACCGGTGTACCACAGGTGTGTACTACACATACTAACACCAGTGTACCACAGGTGTGTACTACAATACTAACACCGGTGTACCACAGGTGTGTACTACACATACTAACACCAGTGAACCACAGTTGTGTATTACACATACTGCAGATGAATGGTTCAGAGAACCGACATGTTGATAAATTAGACACATGTGCAACTCTTGAGTATCTTTATTGAGGAAACATTTCGCCACACAGTGGCTTCATCAGTCCATACAAAGGAGAATCTTGAAGAACAGGAGGTGAATGAGGTAATCAGTCCCTCGACCTTGAGTCGATGTGGTCAGTCCATCAATCTTGAATAGAATACGGCATAAGTGCGGAGAAGCAGCTTATGTACCGTAGGCAGGAGAGGTGCAGCAGTCGTAGGTGGTGTCACATTTGTCCAATGTGGAAGTAGGTCGTGCCCAAGGGCTAGGCAAGTGAAGAATTCCCAAGTATAAAGATCCCAAGAAGTTGCAGTGTCTGACAGGATTGTAGATGATTCAAGATTGATGGACTGACCACATCGACTCAAGGTTGAGGGACTAATTACCTCATTCTCCTCCTGTTCTTCACGATTCTCCTTTGTATGGACTGATGAAGCCACTGTGTGGCGAAACGTTTTCCTCAATAAAGATACCCAAGAGTTGCACATATGTCTAATTTATCATTACACATACTAACATCAGTGTACCACAGGTGTGTACTACACATACTAACATCAGTGTACCACAGGTGTGTACTACGAGTCCAGCTGCGACCCGGAGTACCTGGACCACGCGGTACTGGTAGTTGGCTATGGTACAGAGGATGGAGAGGACTACTGGCTGGTGAAGAACTCCTGGGCTGACTCCTGGGGTGATGCTGGTTACATCAAGATGTCTAGGAACAGAGATAACAACTGTGGTATTGCTACCCAGGCATCATACCCCACTGTCTAGATACCCCTGCCATATACCCCACTGTCTAGAAACCCAGGTCTTATACCCCACTGTCTAGATACCTAGCACTCATACCCCACTGTCTAGATACCCAGCACTCATGCCTCACTGTCTACATACCCAGCATTCATACCCCACTGTCTAGATACCCAGCATTCATACCCCATTGTCTAGATACCCAGGCCCTATGCCCCACTGTTACGTGCACCACATCATGTGATCAACACAGCTGCATCACATCATGTGATCAACACAGCTGCATCACATCATGTGATCAACACAGCTGCACCACATCATGTGATCAACACAGCTGCATCACATCATGTGATCAACACAGCTGTATCACATCATGTGGTCAACACAGCTGCATCACATCATGTGATCAACACAGCTGTATCACATCACGTGGTCAACACAGCTGTATCACATCACGTGGTCAACACAGCTGCATCACATCATGTGATCAACACAGCTGCACCACATCATGTGATCAACACAGCTGCATCACATCATGTTATCAACACAGCTGCACATCATGTGATCAACACAGCTGCATCACATCATGTGATCAACACAGCTGCACCACATCATGTGATCAACACAGCTGCATCACATCATGTGATCAACACAGCTGTATCACATCACGTGGTCAACACAGCTGCATCACATCATGTGATCAACACAGCTGCACCACATCATGTGATCAACACAGCTGCATCACATCATGTTATCAACACAGCTGCACATCATGTGATCAACACAGTTGCATCACATCATGTGATCAACACAGCTGCACCACATCATGTGATCAACACAGCTGCATCACATTGTGTGATCAACACAGCTGCACCACATCATGTGATCAACACAGCTGCATCACATCATGTGATCAACACAGCTGCACCACATCATGTGATCAACACAGCTGCATCACATTGTGTGATCAACACAGCTGCACCACATCATGTGATCAACACAGCTGCATCACATTGTGTGATCAACACAGCTGCACCCCATCATGTGATCAACACAGCTACACCACATCATGTGATCAACACAACTGCATCCCATCATGTGATCAACACAGCTGCATCACATCATGTGATCAACACAGCTACACCACATCATGTGATCAACACAGCTGCATCCCATCATGTGATCAACACAGCTGCATCACATCATGTGATCACAGCTGCACCACATCACATCATGTGATCAACACAGCTGGATCACATCATGTGCCACATGGGCACAGTACCCAGGGCATCCTGGGCAGGTGTTTTAACTTCTCTTACTGAGTCTAATAAACATTGACTGAATTCTAACTCTTTTTAACCTTTAATTAAACATGAAGTATTGGGCGAGTATCACTGTAGGTGTTAATAATGTAATTGGGTGCCAATAAAGCGAGTATCACTATATGTGGTATGTGTGGTAAGAAGTAAGTAGTATGGGTAGCATCCTGGGGAAGGAGAGTGCAGCACCACACTGGAACTAAGACAGTTTCTTAACATCCACTGGCTTCAGTGGGTTACCCTGGATGGTTTAACCTCTGGGTTGGTAAGAGCAACCCAGTGGTGTTGCATCAAGAGTGTCAGCAGTGGTGTTGCATCAAGAGTGTCAGCAGTGGTGTTGCATCAAGAGTGTCAGCAGTGGTGTTGCATCAAGAGTGTCAGCAGTGGCACTTACTGAAGTCTGCACTCCCACAGTTCCTGGCTCCCACTTACACCACCGTGGTTTAACTAGTGTGTCAAGCTGACAGGTTGATACACTACCTCGCCAACTGATCTGCTTCACCAAGACTCATGTTTTGCACCTCAGTGATCCACTGGTGACACATTGGTGACCTTAATAACCTAAGTGGTGAACTTAACCTCAGTGATGACACCTTGGTATTACAAACACAGGTGAAGTCTTGTAGTGGTGCACACTGTTGGTAAGCCAGTCACCAAGACACTCAACCAGCAGTGTTGGTAAGCCAGTCACCAAGACAATCAACTAGCAGTGTTGGTAAGCCAGTCACCAAGACAATCAACTAGCAGTGTTGGTAAGCGAGTCACCAAGACACTCAACCAGCAGTGTTGGTAAGCCAGTCACCAAGACAATCAACTAGCAGTGTTGGTAAGCCAGTCACCAAGACAATCAACTAGCAGTGTTGGTAAGCGAGTCACCAAGACACTCAACCAGCAGTGTTGGTAAGCCAGTCACCAAGACACTCAACCAGCAGTGTTGGTAAGCCAGTCACCAAGACACTTAACTAGCAGTGTTGGTAAGCCAGTCACCAAGACAATCAACTAGCAGTGTTGGTAAGCGAGTCACCAAGACACTCAACCAGCAGTGTTGGTAAGCCAGTCACCAAGACACTCATCCAGCAGTGTTGGTAAGCCAGTCACCAAGACACTCAACCAGCAGTGTTGGTAAGCCAGTCACTAAGACACTTAACTAGCAGTGTTGGTAAGCCAGTCACCAAGACAATCAACTAGCAGTGTTGGTAAGCCAGTCACCAAGACAATCAACTAGCAGTGTTGGTAAGCCAGTCACCAAGACAATCAACTAGCAGTGTTGGTAAGCCAGTCACCAAGACACTCAACTAACAGTGTTGGTAAGCCAGTCACCAAGACAATCAACTAGCAGTGTTGGTAAGCCAGTCACCAAGACACTCAACCAGCAGTGTTGGTAAGCCAGTCACCAAGACACTCAACTAGCACTGTTGGTAAGCCAGTCACCAAGACTATCAACCAGCAGTGTTGGTAAGCCAGTCACAAAGACAATCAACTAGCAGTGTTGGTAAGCCAGTCACCAAGACACTTAACTAGCAGTGTTGGTAAGCCAGTCACCAAGACACTCAACTAGCAGTGTTGGTAAGGAACTCACCAAGACACTTAACTAGCAGTGTTGGTAAGCCAGTCACCAAGACACTTAACTAGCAGTGTTGGTAAGCCAGTCACCAAGACACTTAACTAGCAGTGTTGGTAAGCCAGTCACCAAGACACTCAACTAGCAGTGTTGGTAAGCGAGTCACCAAGACACTCAACTAGCACTGTTGGTAAGCGAGTCACCAAGACACTCAACTAGCAGTGTTGGTAAGCCAGTCACCAAGACACTCAACTAGCAGTGTTGGTAAGCCAGTCACCAAGACACTCAACCAGCAGTGTTGGTAAGCGAGTCACCAAGACACTCAACTAGCAGTGTTGGTAAGCCAGTCACCAAGACACTCAACTAGCAGTGTTGGTAAGCCAGTCACCAAGACACTTAACTAGCAGTGTTGGTAAGCCAGTCACCAAGACACTCAACTAGCAGTGTTGGTAAGCCAGTCACCAAGACACTTAACTAGCAGTGTTGGCAAGCCAGTCACCAAGACACTCAACTAGCAGTGTTGGTAAGCGAGTCACCAAGACACTCAACTAGCACTGTTGGTAAGCGAGTCACCAAGACACTCAACTAGCAGTGTTGGTAAGCCAGTCACCAAGACACTCAACTAGCAGTGTTGGTAAGCCAGTCACCAAGACACTCAACTATCAGTGTTGGTAAGCCAGTCACCAAGACACTCAACCAGCAGTGTTGGTAAGCCAGTCACCAAGACACTCAACTAGCACTGTTGGTTAGCGAGTCACCAAGACACTTAACTAGCAGTGTTGGTAAGTATTGCAACCCCTGAATGGGTCACAATGTATATAATGTATATTACCTGTTCATATAATTTTATATTGCTTGCATTTGCGATATTAGCTAAATCGTAAATATATTGCTTTATATTATTATTTGACTTAGTTATAATATTAGGTAGGATGTAACATTTATATTATTCAGTGCTCACAGTTCGAGAGTATTTAGTAGCTGACAGCATTGTCTAACTATCGCTCCATTTGTTTCCCTGCTGGCTTCTCTGTAGTTGCTGGGCAGCAGCAGTCCATGGAGGGTCACGTGATCAGGGTGGGTGATCATACCTCACCAGGAGTGAGAGTCTGCCTGGCCTGCACTGCTTCTTGTCTGTTTGATGTGCCTTCCAACAAGACATCCTCTACAACTCTCCCTTGCTGGCCCTTGTTGGAAGATCGTCTCTGTCGTTTTCTTGTTGTTGGTTCTGTGTTACTCTGTTCACAGAGCATGGCCTAGACTTAGTGATTTTCGACGTTGTACTGAGGTTGTGTGTCTTATAGACACTCTGAGAAACTCAGGTCCTGAGCTGTAGCTTCTGACCTAATTTGTACTGGTATCTGTGTACCGTCACAGTCAGGGATTTTCTAATGCTGAACTTAGATTCAGTAGTATGGGAGTTTTGTGACTTTTTTGGAGGATCTGCAAATGGTCCCTGTTACGAACATAGTCAGTTGGCCACTGGGTTATAGTGCTTTTCGTAACAAAATAACAACCTTAGTACGTCTAGGGGTCTTCACTCGGAGACGAAAAGGAATTTTCTTAGTTTCTATTAATTTATTAATAATCATAATAATCACTTAAATCCACCTTCTCATATTTTGCACTATGAGTAGAATACTTTTACCATTTCTCATTAAAACATCACATTACTAGGTCAAGTATTTACAAATGGCTCTGAGTGAGTCACGAAATATTAGTATTTGTACATGCCTAAAAACTCGAACATATTAATAGATTTCTTATAATAGGGTTCACTTTACAATAAGTCCTCTTACACTATAGAGGCTTGCTCCCTTGGCTTCACTTTCTCTAAGAGCTTCTTAACTGCCTTCTCCAACCGAGATTTTCTAGTGAGGCGAATGTTGGTTGTAGAGGTGCATACTCCCATAGACCCTTCCTGGTCCAGAGGAAGGTATGAACTGCACAAAGTGAGTCTTTACCAGCCCACTTTGTCTCGGTCGGAGCAGGGGTTGAGCAGCTCAAAACACCTACTGGTGCTTGGCCAGGTCGCACCAGCAGTTGAGACTAATTAAACAACCTACCTATATATAAAGCTAAGTAATACGACCAGATAATATTATAAAGTCGAGTAAATTCAATTTAGCTACTAATGGAATTACTCCTAAATATAATATTAAGTGAAATAGCAAAAATAACATGAAAAGGTATACCATTGTGATAATAACAAGTAGAAACAGTCTACTTAAAATGGACAAAAGGGTGTAACACCCCCTCCACACGACCAAATGTCGCACTGACAATAGTACAAAAATAACCCTGAATCTTTTATATACAGCAGAAGAACTGAAATACCAACATAGGTATGAGGGTATTCAAGGAGGATATTGTTTAGACGACAGACATCCATCTCAATAGAATTGGGTTTTCTCTTGGCCTTGGGTGACACAAATGCTGTCTCTCAAGCAAAATGTAAGGACACAGCAAATGGTCTCCAAGCTTCATTCTCCATAACTAAACTGTAAACAGTACCACTCATTCACATAACTGCAAAAAAGGAAACATTGGGCGTAAGTTAAAACAGGGGCATACTGGTGCGACTAGTCTTAATGGCAGGACAAAGCATCCGCAATTACATTATGTTTGCCCTTTATGTGTAGGATTTTAATAGAAAAAGGTTGTATTCTAAGAGCCCACCTCTGTATTCTGGCATTCTTAGCCTTCATGGTATTAATGAATGTCAAAGGGTTGTGATCTGAGTATACCGTAATCTGATGAGGTGATGTTCCCAAGTAAACTTCAAAATGCTCGAGAGAGATAACCAGGGCTAGAGCTTCTTTTTCTATAGTTGCATAATTCTTTTGGTGTGGCTTTAAGGTGGAGGAATGACAACATATCGGATGTAGAATATCAGAGGAGTGGGAGGACTGCAGTAGTACTGACCCAACAGCATAACTGCTGGCATCTTTATGTAACAGGAAGGGAAAGTTAAAATCAGGGCTTTTCAATACTGGAGAGGAGATCAATAATCACTTTAACTTATTGAAAGCCATATTACATTCCTCAGACCAAGCGAATTTGATTTTAGAACTAGTTAGCGCAAAAAGAGGGGTGGCTACGCGTGAAAAGTTAGGGCAGAATCTTCTATAATACCCAGTCATTCCAAAAATCTCTGCACCCCTTTTCTGTCTCTTGCTATAGGAAAGTCTGAAATGGCTCTCACTTTTGCACTGATGGGTGCCACTGTCCCCTGACCTGGAGTTTACCTGGAGAGAGTTCAGGGGGTCAACGCCCCCGCGGCCCGGTCTGTGACCAGGCCTCCTGGTGGATCAGAGCCTGCTCAACCAGGCTGTTACTGCTGGCTGCACGCAAACCAACGTACGAGCCACAGCCCGGCTGATCAGGAACCGACTTTAGGTGCTTGTCCAGTGCCAGCTTGAAGACTGCCAGGGGTCTGTTGGTAATCCCCCTTATGTATGCT